CTTCCTCCAAGTTCATGAGAAAGAAGAGAGCTCATCTCAAAATAGCAGACAGGCCCCTCCAACTTCACGAGCAAGAAGAGAGCTCCGCTTACCCCCTAGCCGGCAAGAAGACACCTCCATTCGTTCTTAGCAAGGGAAAGAAGACTACCTCCTTTTCCTCTTCAGACAGAACATGGAGGAGAGCTTACGCTCAAGAAGAGAGGGTCATGCTCTAAGACTCTAAAACAAGAAGAGAGCTTCATCCAAGATACTCTCGGTAAGAGACGTGAGCTTCTTGCTAGAAGAGAGCGCAATTACCTCTTGGTAAGTCGCCTCTTATTCTTGAGAAGATTAAAGAGATCTCCTTCCTAGCAAGAGAATACAAAGCTTACCAGTTCTCAACAACAATGCATAAGTTCCCTACTTTATCATCGACAACAAGAGGAGAGCTACCTGCACTTTAACAAGAAAAAAGAGCTCCTCTTTGTCATGATCGGCAAACAAAGAGCTCCTTCACCTCTCGCTAGAGGAAGAGATCAAAAGGTCTTCTGCCCGGGCCCTCCAACTTCACGAGACAAAAGAGAGCTCCGCTTGCCTGCTTGTCGACAATAAGACAACTCCTTTCTCTCTTAAGGGGCGAGAACTCCTGACCATCTCCTCCTCCGCTCTCAGGAAAAGGATGGAGCCCTCCCAACCTTCAAACCTTCAAAAAAGACGTCTTGTTTTCGGCAAAAATTTGCCGCGGTTGGCTGTTTCTTGATTTTCCTGATTTTTTATAACCACGAACAGGTCAATCGCAGCAAGTTCCGCCCAAGAACCGGTTGGCGAAGTTTGCTCCGATTTGGCTGTTTCTTGATTTAAATCCAACGGCGAATAAGTCAATCGCAGCAAATTTCGCCGAAGAATCGCTTGGCGAAATTTGCTGCTTTAAATCAAGTAAAAGTATAGGGTGATTAGTACTTTAACAGTTTTGGAAACTTTGAAACTATTAAACTGCTCTATTATGAAAAAGCGGTTTTAACGATTCAATAGTTCTTGAAACTGACAGAAGCGCAGAACCATCTGGGTGATTGAGCAGGCAGGTGTTTAGAAGAACGCTGAACGCCAAACCCGACTGCAGGCCCTAAGCCATGCAACCTTACGCTTTTACTGTGTCTACCACATGTGGTGTTGTAGAGAAAGTTTGGCGAGCGCCAGACTCTCCCGTGAAGCGCTCCGCAAGTCCGCTACCAACGAGGCTGCTGAAGAGGATTACGGACCAACAGCGAGCGGTAGAGTTTCGCGTTTTTTTAGGACGTCTGCTGTTTGGATTTTGGGGCTGGGTGCTTGAGGTTGAAGGTTTGGGACGTATAGTCGATCTAAGTGCATAGTCTAGTATTAACATGAAGAACAATGGCGAGTGGTTGAGGTTTCGGGGTTTGAGACGTTTGCTGTTCTGATTTTGGGGTTCGGTGCTTAAGGTTCAAATTTTTGGAAAGTAGACGTTGACGTCGTAGTCGTCGTCGTCATCGTCGTAATAATAATACTAAGGGTGTAGTGTATAAATTAGTATTAATATTAACGCAAAGAGCATCAACACAGTATACGTAAAGGTTCCTGCCACATGTGTGTATAGCCGCTTTTCTCGAGCTCTAGCCGATGCGGTTCCGAAAGTGCATAGTCGGGCCCACATATGACTTCGCCCGGCAGTGCACCTCGACCAGGACTCGTATGGATTCTCTACCGCAGCGGAGTGCTGTTGCTTACAATGCGTTATCGCTCGTGCAAACTCGAAGGCTAGGACACATGCTGTCTGAACTACGTTGGCACTCTATTGTGTGCACTCAGGAGCTTCCAAACAAACCCTATCTAAGCCGGCCACATCTCTTCCCCCGGCTTGGTGTGTGCCCATATTATGCACAGATGCGAATGCTCGTCGTGGCCGTGGTCCACGGGTTCCCGGTGTTGGCACGATTGATGCGGTTGCCGAGAATTTCAATGGCGAGCAATGCTGCGAGATGCAACAAGGAACTACAAAGTGATGGCAGCGTACGGCACACGGCATGTTCCTCGAAAGCAGTTTGGAAGGTATTGGGAATGTGCCCATCTCAAGTTGAGCTCCGAGTAAGAAGACTACGGTGGTATCAGCAACTGGCTTCAAACATTAGCAAACACATTTGTTTTCTTATGGCCATGTTCCGTCGTTTGGGGTTTGATGATGTCGACGCTGTCGATGCAAGTGGTAAGATCTGCTCTGCTCTTCTGCAAATCCATGGGCGCTTCAGTGTCAGCAAGGTGTGCAAGCACTGGGGGCGATTGATGACGGGCAATCCTTACTGGATCGTTTTCACGGGTGCATGGTTCCCGTGTTCACACAAAATGCCGGGGACTTTGTGGCTGCGGATGTGTCTGCATTGTGCGGGACGTTTGCGTCCAATTGTATTCCACCACATGGGTGGCTTCCACCCCCAGTCGAAGAAGTATTCGATGATGATGTTGACGATGTCGCGCATAGTTTCATTTGTGATTGTACTCCCGCGGATGGAAGGCCATGCCAACAAGGTTTTCCGACAGCACAAACTTTGGCGGCGCACAAAAGTTCGACGAAAGGTGGAACAAACGACAACCTGTCCGATATCTCCAAGGTTTCGATTACAAACAATGTCCATGGTGCACAGTGTGTTTTCGTCGGTGTTATCGGCTGGAAACCATATTCGGAGAATGCTGGGAAGGGGTTATTGTGGTGGCACTGGCAGTCATGTCGTTTTTGATGTCCAGCATCCAGAGAGCTTGCGATGTCGCGTTTGCGAGGTGTGCTTTGATTCTGTGGATGACGTGTTGGATAATGTTTCATCTCATGTTGTATTGCCGATTCCACATGCAGCAGCATCGGGCCATTAGTGAGCCGAGTAGCTGTGATATCGTCAGTGCGGGTGAAATGATATCTGTTTTGACCCCATGGGCACAAACACAGAATCCTCCAAGCTCGGAAGGTGGTGTGAGCAAAAAGGTGGCTACCAGTAACGAAAAGTTCCTCATGAAAGGCATGCCGCTGTTGACCAAGCTCTGTCTCAAGAACTCATTGGACGTCAGAGAGTTACAGGCCGCCACACTGCTGACGATTCAGATGCCCAAGGACCCCGATTTCATCGCCAGTGTGATCGCAGCAACCAGCAGTTACAGTTACAATGATGAGCAGCTCAAGGCGAAATCTTCGGGAGGGCAAGCTCCGGTGGGACAGCCACATTGCCACGCATGGATCGCGATGCTTGAGACGTTGTTGCAGCAAAATGCCGTTACAACCGCGGAGCGGGAAGCAGTGCAAAAGCATGTGCGTGACTATTGTGGCAGTCCAGCAATGGTGGCCACGGTTGCTCATGTTTGTCGCGACAAGAAATGCTTCGATCAGTCCACGATGAAGGTGTGCATTGCGGTTAGCGAGCATGTCCGGCCAGGTATGTCCATTCTGGAGAATCGTTTGCATGAGAAGGGTGGCAAAACTCTCCATGGCCAAGCTGCGAAAGGAGGCCTCGAGCGAGACATGCAGACGTATCTCGAGCAACCCAATGACATGCTGAAGTGATGAGTGCATTGTCGTGTGAAGTAGTCCTGACGCTCTTGTGACGGGCTCGGCCCCGTTTCGCTCATGATGGCTCGCCTCATATTTGACGAGTGAGGGGCAAGCCTTGTTAGTGTTGAGCCTGTGCCCTCTTGGATACACCGAGGGAGCGCGATGTGTACTGTCAAGGCAACAGACCTAGAAAGGTTGGGCGGCAAACGCGCGGCCCTGACGCAGCTTACATGACCTCATGTGTACGCCAGTGTACGCTGCCAGCAAATGTAATGTATGTATGTATGCATGCATGCACGGATGCATGTCTGTGTTTATGTACGTACGTATGTATGTATGTATGTATGTATGTATGTGCGTATGTATGTATGTATGTATGTATGTATGTATGTATGTATGTATGTACTTATATGCATATTCATATATTACTCAGTTAGTTGGTTCGTGGGTGCGCGAGCTTGTTTGAGACAGTGAGTGAGATAGTTCTGGGAATACTCAGAACTAATTTATTTCTTAACTAATTAATTAACTAAGCTTATTACTCAAGTAGTTAATTGATGAATTACTTAGCTTCTTCTGTACTTCATTAACGATAATAACTAATCAGTTAATTAGCTCGCGAATCAATCAAGCAGCTAGTGTATACGCGCAATGATAAAAGTTTGTTCAATGAGTATTTCGTGCAGGAACACCGGTCATCTCCATCCACGACCTCAAAGTCGCCAGCGCTCTCTATTCGCCAAATTCGAGACAGATGGCTTTGGGCGTTTGGAAGCTGTTTGGTAGCCTTGTCTTGTGGCACTCCTTTCTTAGGCATCTTGACGACGGGGGCCATGTTTTGGCTGTACTCCTGCAGCCAGACCCATCGACTCTTCTTGGTTGAAGCGCCGCAAAGGATTCCGCTTCCTGTGCAAGTTCTGACCGAGGGCATCCTTTGGACAAGCCTTTTCCAGGCATGCATCTACACCATCGTCACTTATACCAAGCGCTACTTGAGATTGTTCGCGAGCGACACCAGCAACATGAAAGTGGTCACGCAGAAGATCCTCGCCGAGGCGGGCTTGTCCTTGTTTGTCCTAAACCTGATGTGTGACAGTCTAGCTGGACGTCCCTGCAATCAGAAGCCTGAGGCAGAGGTCGGGGTCATCGTGGTGGCCTGTACCTTCGGCTCAACCATCCTCTGGCGAGTCTTGTTGATCAATGCCATGGAGATCGCGCAGAACGTGCATGAGCACAGACAGAGGGTAACGCTTCCGCCCAAAGCCCGAGAGATCTGGAAGCAGCTGCAGGATAAGTTCGACAAGTATTTTCCAAAAAAAGAGCCACCTGCCACTTTCACAGAGCTGCGGTTGCGACAGGATTCCAAGGACAAGATTGAGAAAGACATTTTCGGAGAGGTGGATTTGTACAGCATAGACAAGGCGCTGATTTTCACATCCACCTTGGTGCTCGGCGTGTCTTTGATAGTCCTGCAATGTCAACTGGATTGGACTGCATCTCATGAGGAACGAGTTCCAGGCTACCTGGCCTGGAGGCGGCGGGGGATAGGCAGATATCTGTACGCAGGTCTTGGGGGGGGTCATAACGGCGTATGTGGCAGCTCACCATTGGTTCCGGCTCACATCCGCCACTGTCGGCGTTACCAGAAGGTTCAAGCAACTGCCCCAACGCATGCTGCTTTTCTCCTTCCTGGCCACCACCTCGAACCAAGTGGAACTTAAGGGGGACGAATCGCACGAGGCTTTGGAAGATATGAGGACGTACATGAAGGCTCAGGTGGCCAATCTCAAGGAGAAGGACGCGGATCGACGGAGACAGCTTGAGGAAAGTCTGGAGAAAGACCCGAACTTGGATCTTCAGACGGTGCTTTATCTGTTCATAGGCGAGAAACAAAAGCTTAACCTCGGGGACAGAGAAGATATCCACGCTTGGGCACAGTTGCGAGATTTCATAAATCTGGACTTCCTGGATGCTTCCGCCATCATGGAGTGCGCCGGCACCGTGATCGTGCTTCAGATTGTCAACTTCGCCTTTGCAGGCATGGTTGTGTGGTTTCGAGAAGGCCGCAACCCCGTAGTAGCTCCCGGCCTGTGGCTTGTCCTGCTTCTATCTCTTTTGCTAATGAAGCTACTGTTTCGAGTCCTTCTTGTCTGCGTTCGGGCCAACTTCATGTTGGACCGTGATGCTCGACGGCTCATGGACGTCCAGGTTGCTCAGCTTCAGGAACGGCGTGGACAGAAGGAAGCTGACATCGAGAAGATTGAGGAGATGACAGCACTCGGACAGAAGGAAACGGACATCGAGAAGATTAAGGAGATGACAGACCGCACCTTGACAGGCACGTTCATTCATGCCGTCCAGAGGCAAGCTGAAGCATCAGAGTACATGCAGAAGCTGTTCGGAATCGAAGTGACCGTCACAATGCTTCAAGGATGGATGATCTCCCTAGCTGTGCTCTTCTTGCAAGCTTTGTGGTCCCTTCTAGGACAGCACTTAGTGAACCTGGACCCTGCCAAGCTAGCAGCAGAGCTCATTTGCTGGCGCAAGACGGGGGAGGGTTGCAACATGACGCGGACCTTCGATCATTGACGATCCATGGCACAGGGATCTGGCGTAGATCATACCACAACTGACTACCGTTGCGCAAAGTTTCTGGGCCCGTAGTTCTCAACGCTTTAAGGTTAGAGTTCAGGATTTCGGAGAAGCATATTGCTTCACGGCCCTTTTGGTGAGTGTAGGCCTTCCAGGTCGACCCCCCCTCGAATCCAAGCATCGAAGGTCCGCAGCTGATCAGCTTCAGGTTTCACATCCGTGCTAGCAGGAGACTTGGGCATGATCTTGTTACAGTTTAGATGAGAAGAGACTCCTGCGCATCGTTTAGGACTTGAGGCGTTTTTTTGGGGTTTAGGCAGTTACGCCTTCTTGGTCAGCCTGCCCGGAGGCACCAGGCAGGACACCAGAGCCCCGTGCGAGCCCCACGAGGCACCTGTATACAGACTGCGAGCTTTGGAGCTCGACCGCAATGCATGCACGCTCGTCAAAATGATGGTCATGCCTCAAGCTCTTGCCCTGCCGATTTCGAGATTTGCTGACCACAGGTGCTTGGTTGCAATCCCGAGAACGTTTACGCCCCAGACATGGGTAAGCTGCTGCTGCTGTTCCTGCTACTGCTAC